TCCCGCAGTTTGGTCAGACTCATGTTTGTAGCTTCGAAGACACTATCCAACCATCTCGTCCTCTGTCGTCCCCTTCTCCTTGTGCCCTCCATCTTTCCCAAGACCAGGGTCTTTTCCAGGGAGTCTTCTCTTCTCATGAGGTGGCCAAAGTCTTGGAGCCTCAGCTTCAGGATCTGTCCTTCCAGTGAGCACTCAGGGCTGATTTCCTTAAGAATGGATCGGTTTGTTCTTCTTGCAGTCCATGGGACTCTCAAGAGTCTCCTCCAGCACCATAATTCAAAAGCATCAATTCTTCGGCGATCAGCCTTCTTTATGGTCCAGCTCTCACTTCCATACATCACTACTGGGAAAATCATAGCTTTTACTATACGGACCTTTGTTGGCAAGGTGATGTCTCTACTTTTTAAGCTGCTACCACGCAACTCCTGACCCTGGCAGCAGGAGTGGGCAGGGCACCTGAGGAAATGCCACCCCATGCGATTCTGCTGCCCAAGGTGCTTGCTTCAGTCAGCTCCTGGGAGGGCCGGCCCTGCTGATGGAACGGCTGCCCCCAGATGACACTTAAGGGGAGATGAGGCCCAATGGAGCTGGCCTGTCACAGCAGAGCCAATGGACTTCTAGCCAAAGTTTGTCCTTTGTTTATCTCATGGGGTTAAGGAGGAGATACCTTAACTACAATTCAATATTTGGAAGGTACACTATCCAGAACTTTGGCCTAGGTGTCATCCTGCACTGCCATCAAAAGCTAAGGGAAGAGCAAGCTCTGGCATACAGTGAAGTGCAGAGGTCAGTATATATTCCCCAGAACACTTTGAGTTCCTTGCATACTGGTTACAGGTAGGTGGGAATGTCCTGTGTGACCACAGCCCCCAGTTTCCTTTGCAAATGTCCACTCTTCTCCATTTGAGACCCTCTCATGCTTCGATGCCCCCACAGATTTCCTGCGGCTGAGGCAATATAGCCCTAAAATAACTCAACCTCTCAACAATGTGCCTGCAGGATTGAAAAGGAGCGTAAATTTCATGCAACGCTGAAATATATCTGTCTTCTGCTAAGAGCTGCCAACAGCTGCATAATGCCCTCAGTATACAACAGTGGGAAGTGGAGATGGAAATGGCAGCCAATGAAATTATGGGGGAACCGGAGCTATGCAGAATGCAATGAAGTGGGGCCGAGGTTGGCTTCTTAACACCAAGCTCAGCTTCCTTTTTCCGAGACAAATGATCTGGGATAGCCAGGGGACAAATGGCTAGGGGGATGTTTTGAGAAGTGCGGCATCCTCTACGACGCCGACGCAGATGAGATGAGAGAATTGGCAGGGCTAATTCCCATCTATTGCCCCATTCCCTACAAAAATCACTTGCCATTTGTTTCGTTCATTAATGAACACTGAACCAACAGGGCTTCCTTTGTTACAAACAAATGCACATCGTTGTTAACTACAGTCATTTGGGAAAGGGAGCCTGTGGCCCTCTGGATGTTGAGGGGCATACAACCAAGGTCAGCCCAAGACATTTTGGCGTCTGAGGCGAACCACAAAATGCCACCTCCCTCCCTGCAAAGGAAAAGGGGTGAGTGAAGATTTACACCAGGAAGTAGAAGGGAAATAAAATCTGCATCAGGATCTGCTGTCCCTGTGGATCCTGCTGCCTGAGGTGCTCACCTCACCTTGCCCCATGGGTGGGCCGGCCTTGCATACAACTCCCATCATCCCTAGTCATAGATATGCTGGCTGGGGCTGATGGGAGTGGGAGTCCAACAATATCTGGAAGGCAACTAGTCGCTCAGCCACGTCATACATGCTTATTTTGTAGGAATGTAATCATAGGCCAGTAGGTGCTCACCGTAGGAAACTAACAGAAGTCAAGTTGCATTCTTCTACAAGGAGACGTTTTTACATCTGCCATAACTGCAAATCACCTGCAAAACAGGAAATTCACGTATACAATTTGAGCTTGCAACCGGACACAGAGGAGACTTTGATCCCACTGAGTTTGAGACAGGTGCTGCAAAGCCCATGCAGTTAAGAAATAAAAATAAATTTAAGCACAGCGCCACTGTGTAGGTTGCAGACTGAAAGAAACATTCAGTGCTAGATGGACTTAAAATAAACATGGCTTTCTTTTCCTTAGAAAAAGTAGAAGGATATGAGTAATAAAATGTCACACAACACACCCTATTATCCCTCAGTGTAAACATCCTCTTTCTGGGCTCAGAGGCTGTGGCAATTTGCTATGCAGCAGGATCAATAAAGAGAGGCCCATTTTTTAATTTTTTTATTTTAGTACTGTGTCAGGAAAACATGCAATTTCCTTCCCCAGTTGCATAGTGCAGGGAACTGTCATCAGTCGGAAGCTCTCTGCATTCTGGGTTGCATCCGACTTTCCTTCAAAGCAGACCTATTGAAATGAATGGGCATGTCCAAATGAATGGACCAAAGTAAAGCAAAGCTCAATTTTACTTATTTATTTATGCACATATTGATTTATTGTCTCCCCCCCCGCCCATCCCCACACATCTCAAGGCAATGTACAAAGTATAATAAAACCAACTTTAAAACAATTAAAAACAACACAGAGAATAAGAGCAGATAAATATAAGCGCTTGTAGCCAAGTAAGTTCTACAGCCAAATGATGGTCTACTCTGAGCAGGAATAGCCTCAAAGCAATACAAAGTAGACATGCAGGGCGGAGATATATTTGTCCTGCTGGGAAAGCTTTTCGAGCCAAAACTGTCTTCAACTGTTTCTGAAAAATGCTGATGGTGGGCACCTGTCATATCTCAAAAGAAACCCTGCAAGGGGTCCTTCCTTCAAGGACACATTCCAGCCAGACCAAAGACCACAAGGGTGTCATCGTCCCCCCAGGAAGCAGGCGTGTGGTCTGGGGAGAGGGCATTGCCTGAGAAGGGTCCTGAGGGCCACATAGGGAGGACTGGAGGGCCGCATTCAGGCCCTGAGCCTGAGGTTCCCCATGCCTGCACTATGCCATGCTGGATAGCATAGAACAATGATTTAAAAGATTCTGGCTCAGAAAATGATTTGTCGCTGCCTGCCTTATCATTGCTGAAAAGCTAATGATTGAGAAGAATTGGAAAAAAGAAACATCTCCTGCCGAATCTGAAAAGATTGAGAAGATCTGGTCTAGATCGACAATGATCAAACTAACCTCCTATAAGAGACCTTACAATCAACCCAATAGGTTTACGGAAAGATGGGGATTTTGTGTGTGTAACACATACCCCCCAACATTTCTCCGATGAAAATAGGGACGTCACATTCCATAAATATAATTTTACTATTTATACCCCACACATCTTACTGGGTTGCCCCAGACACTCTGGGCTTCTTCTTACACACAGTGGTACCTCGGGTTACATACGCTTCAGGTTACATACGCTTCAGGTTACAGACTCCGCTAACCCAGAAATAGTACCTCGGGTTAAGAACTTTGCTTCAGAATGAGAACAGAAATTGTGCTCCGGCAGCGTGGCAGCAGCGGGAGGCCCCATTAGCTAAAGTGGTGCTTCAGGTTAAGAACAGTTTCAGGTTAAGAACGGACCTCCAGAACAAATTAAGTACTTAACCTGTGGTACCACTGTATATAAAAATATTAAACATTAAAAAAAAAACCTTCTTTGTACAAAATTGCCTTCAGATGGCTCAGGGGTCGGGTAACTCCATACCCTCCAACATTTCTCCAATGAAAATAGGGAGATCCTAAGGAAAAGTGGGATGGGACGCAGGTGGCGCTGTGGTCTAAACCACGGAGCCTCTTGGGCTTGCTGATCAGAAGGTCAGCGGTTCGAATCCCCATGACTTGGTGAGCTCCCGTGGCTCGGTCCCAGCTCCTGCTAACCTAGCTATTCGAAAGCATGCCAAAAAAAGTGCAAGTAGATAAATAGGTACCGCTTCGGTGGGAAGGTAAACGGTGTTTCCATGCGCTGCTCTGGTTTGCCAGAAGAGGCTTAGTCCTGCTGGCCACATGACCCGGAAAGCTGTCTGCGGACAAACACTGGCTCCCTCGGCCTGTAAAGCGAGATGAGTGCCGCAACCCCAGAGTCGACCGGACTTAACCGTCAGGGGCCCCTTTAGCTTTACCTTTTTAAATGAAAAGTGAGACATTCTGGAATCAAACCAGAAACCAGGACTGCTTCTCTAAATCAGGGTCATCTCTGGAAAATAGGGACAATTGGAGGGTCTGGTAATGCCACTGAATAAGCCTCTGCTGTCTATAATTTACTATAATGTTATTAGTTATTCATTTGTTTTAAGGTTACTTGGTGGAAATGAATGAAATTGTAATAACAATGTAGCTCTTCTTCAAATGGTTTTGCAATTGGAAGACCAACTACACTTAACGATTCTAGTTTTTCATTCCTTTTTTTAAAAAAAGAAAATATTGTACAGAAGATACAGAAATGCTGTCAGCTGAGCAGCAAAGGTTGGAAGCAGGAGTCAGTGCAGCAAAACAACCTTACAGCACTCCTATGTTTTGTGACACTTGTAACATCCCCGCTTCCCCACAAAGAAACCTGCTTGCCCATTTTCTGCTGCCCGAAAGGATTGATTCAGCTTTGAAACATGAAGTTCCGCACGTGCCGTTCTTGTTTTCTTCACGGAAAAGCCTTGCTGGTAAATATTGCGAGAAGAAATGGAAAGAGAACCACGAACTGGTTAGGAGCAGCTCTGAATGGGAATATGGTCAGCAGTGATTGCACTTGACCTGTGGTTACGCTTTAAGGGCATGACATGTGCTTGTTTTGAGAAGAGAGAGTGGTAGCTAATGGTGGCCCAGGGCAAATGAGGTTTTATTGGATTGTTGTTGAGGCTGGGTGTGTGTGTGTGTGTGTGTGTGTGTGTTGGGGAGAGGGGGGGTTTAGTATTCTCAGGAAGAGAATTCATTTGCAGAAATAGGATGACTGAATTGGCTTGAGCTTTCAACACTCCCAGATCAATAGCAGTCAGGGTAATTTTATCTCCAGGAGCACACACGAAGCCAGCTGCATGATCTACACAGCATGTGTGCTGGTTCCATGCTTGTTGCTTGCTTTTAGGGCACTTATTTATTTATCAGTAAAGAAGAGGCTCAGGAGTAAACCCTACACAAATTCGGAACGGAGTCCCTAAGGCAGTTGGATGGCACCTTGCACGCCTCCATCCGGCAACTCCTGCAGCCAAACTGGTGCCAAAGGTATTGCTCTGGGCTCTCTCTATCTTTTTTTTATTTTTTTTGGAGCACATCAGCAAGGCTGAGAGGGGGGGTCTTGTCGACTGAGCAGCTCAGGACCTCCAGAAACACAGCCCAGGCTTCCACCTCAGGGAAGTCACTTTGGTGCTGCTAACACAGCCTAACCAATGTGGGAGGCAGCAGTTCTGAATGGTGGACAGACACTATATTGTTCAGTGTTCAAAGTGTTGGTGCTGACCTTTAAAGCCCTAAACAGCCTCAGCCCAGCGTACCTGAAGGAGCGTCTCCACCCCCGTCATTCAGCCCAGACACTGAGGTCCAGCTCTGAGGGCCTTCTGGCGGTTCCCTCACTGCAAGAAGCAAAGTTACAGGGAACCAGGCAGAGGGCCTTCTTGGTGGTGGTGCCCGCCCTGTGGAACACCCTCCCATCAGATGTCAAGGAAATAAACAACTATTTGACTTTTAGAAGACATTTGAAGGCAACCTTGTATTGGGAAATGTTTAATGTTTGATGTTTTATCATGTTTTTAATATTCTGTTGGGAGCTGCCCAGAGTGTCTCGGGACACCCAACCGGATGGGCAGGGTATAAATAATAAATTCTTCTTCTTCTTCTTCTTCTTCTTCTTCTTCTTCTTCTTCTTCGTCTGTCAGGGGGCAGACTACCCCAAATTCCTGGAATCAAATAAAGGGTTAGAATTTAATCAAAGTCCCTTAAACCCTAGATCCAACTGGGTTTCCATTGCTGGAATTGCCAGGCCAGCCTGTTAAAGGCCACCTAGTATGAGTTGTTAACCTAACAAAGCAAGGTGATGAGCTCTTGAGAGGGACACTCCCTTCCCTGAGCTCTGAGATAGTTAGAAGACAATGTCAGAGTTTTAGCTTTGACGTTCGCAGGAACGCAACACGGTAGTAAGGTAGCGAGCTGGAGAAAGAGGAAATGCAAAAGGGCTGTTGTCTGACTGATTCCTGGGCTCCTGTGGCTATGAGGGAACAAGAATCTCCTGGTGTCAGGGGTTCAGGGACAGAGGCACAGGGTAGGGAGGAGATGGAGAGCGATGGGGATGAATCCCAGGACAGCGAGGAAGAGGATGACAATGACTCAAGAGATTCCATGAGTCTTTCCAGCGAATCAGAGGATTCCCAGAAGGGGGCGCCAGTGGTCAAGGCCAGGGGAGCCCCAGGGGGGACGTGTCAGGAACAGGGGGCCAGCGGGGGGATCCCAAAGTGGCAGCTGGGCGTCAGGACCAGCCTCCCCGCCAGAGTGCAGCGAAGGGGGTGGAGGTTCCAGTGTATCAGGGGAAGCAGCTCCGGCAGCAGAGAAGGGAGGCAGGTTGGAGCAAGCCACCCTCCCGGAAGGGGAGGGGAGTAGTGTAACTGTCAAAAGGAAAGTTAGAGGTTGGGCGCGCGCGCCAAGTTCAAATGTAGAGGCGCGCGGAAGTACAGGGAGCCCGGAGGAAGGGCCAGGTCCTAAAGCCCGCAGGAGGGGGGAAGAGCAGTCAGGGGATAGCGCGTCAGGGGAATCCAGGAGGGGCGAAACCCCAGCAGGCAGGAAGACCCTGAGGAAAAGGAAAGAGAGAAAGAGGTGGAGCAGCGCAAGGCTCTTAAACTGGTGCAGGGGAGGGACTGACTCAGAGGGGACTTCAACGGTCTAAGCATACAGACGTGGGGCTGCGCGCCTCGGATATGAAGCAAACAATGAACAGCAATAAACACTTTTGTATATAAGAAGAGATTGGCGTTGGTCTTTTGTGAGCTGAGACCTGAGGCAGCCGTGACACCTGGGCTGTACTGCTGGGAGTCCTTCCATCATGGGCTCAGGTTGTATATATGTGTAAATAAACCCTATATGGTAAAGACACCACAGTCTCTGCTGTGCCTCATTTTCTAAAAGGAAACACAGATCCCGGGTAAGTACGCCTGGAACTCCTGGAATATGACACTGTTCAGAGACTGAGGTGACGTGCAACCATATTTTATTATTAGTTACACACTCTCTCACTTTTCTTCTAAAGAGCTCTAGGTGATTCCTCTTCCCTGCTTTTTATCTTCGCAACCACTATCCCGTGGGGCAGGTTTTGGGGGTGGCGGGGAGAGCAAATTCACTGAGGAAACGCTCCAAGCCACAGCTCCGGTGGTTCACCACAAGAGGCAGTTGACGGTTCTAGTCCCCAGTGACCTGATATGGATTTAAACTTGCCTAACAGTCCTTACCTCTCACTCCAGAATTGTGGGAATTGTAGTTCTGCGAGGCAGACTCGGGCTCCCTGTCACAGAATTCTAAGCATCCTCATCAAACCACAGTTCCAAAGCTTTGTTGTAATTTTTCATACTATGTTCCAGAAAACTGAAATTTCTCAGAAGATGCCTCTGAGGATTCCTCGATGACCTTCCAGATCAGTCATGGCAGACGTATTTCCCTGAAAGTTAAATCGTCTAATTCTTCAACATATAATCATAGGTGATTGTTGGGTGTGCTTCGCATGCGTTCTCCATTGATGTAGACTGACAGTGAAGTCTAAGAGGCCTCATGTGAACCAAGGGTGTGGCTTGAAGATGCCCCAGAATTCTCCCCACTGTCTGTGGCTCTTTGGCAACAGAGCTGGTTCAAGGCATGGGGCTGCTGGAGATGAAGGAGATGAAGACCTCACTCAATGTAAAATCAATGAAGATACATGAGAATTAGGGAGGCTGGAGAAATTGTTGATGTTCATTTATTTGTCCTTGGACTGGAATGGGAACCAAGCAACTGGTATTCAATGTTGTTGTTGCAAATCTGCAAATGATACATAATTCCCCCTCCCTCCCTTTGCATTGTGTTTCCTTTGACTGGGACAACGTAATGGCAACGTAACTTACAGAAGTTATGTAATTCCATTGCAGGGGACAGCAAGGTGAACAATGTAGCTTTTCGCAGGAGACAGACAGAAGCAGAACAGAAATAGCGCTGCATGTGAAGAATACAGGGCGGAACAGAAAAAGATGCACAGCGCCATGGTGATTCTTAGGATGCAGTCTAATAATATCACTGGTGACTCTTATAATACAATCCATGGACAGCAGTGTGGGTTTAATTTGTCTGTGGTTTGTGGGAGATGCCTTTGTGAAAATCACAGGGATTTCTTCCAAGGGTCTACGTTTTGTGCCATGGTGGTGCCAGCACTGGATCTGTGGCACTGCCTGCTCAGTCCATGGAGAAAGATGTGTTCTGTGATTTAATGGTACCACACTATTTTAACAGTCTTTCTTTTCTATGCCCTGCAGCACTCGTCTTATGACTGGCACTCGCAACAGTTTCTCATAATTCCATGTGTGCCCACAGGCCCCAGAGAGGCTGGAGGCTGCAGTAGCAGTTGCTGGGGTGTTGCCTTCAAGTCTTCTTGTTTAACGCAACACATTTATAATGGTTAAACAAAGGTGGCATTGTAGGAAATGGACATGAGGCCACTAGAGGGACCTTTGGCCCGAGCCAACAAATCTATTATTTTATGCTTGTTCTCAATGTGTAAACTTGCTGCACCAAGGGCGGAGAAATATTTTCAGCCTGAAGATTGCATTGCCTCAGAGGAAACAATCTGGGGTCCATATGCCTGTGGTGGGTGGAGACAATGGTGGGTGGAGCAACAGACATGGCATGCCAGTCATGGAGAGGCCAGAAGTTTCTCATTTCACCTGGTCACAATTCAAGGACACTTTCCAACCATGCTAAATCCATGAAGGAGGACTCAGGGCCTGGGTGGTGAGGGATGGAGCTGGGAAGAAAGGGTGTGACATGGGGAATGGGCTTTAGCTGAGGAAAGTCCCGAGGGCCACATACAGAGACCTGGGGGTCCACATTCAGTTCTCCACCCCTGAGCTACACTGTGAGCTCTTTGACAGGAAACTGGAACCCAACAGAAAACTAGAACCCAAAACAGACCAATTCCTCCTGTCAGAGCTGTCTGGGTGAGCTCTTTTTGAGATGGAAAGTGGTTTTTGGTGCTGCCCAGTCCTAAGCCAGGCTTGGTATTGATGGGTATCCAAATATTGTCATTAATTGACCAGAATTTCTTTGACAGAGTAAGCACCTTCCTCTTCACAGATGAACCCCCTTTTGCGGATTCTTCTTGCTTTGGAGTCTAATACACTGAAGAGAGGAAAGGAAGAGGCTGATTTTTAAGAAGAAAGCAACACTGAGCAGCCCGTTCAGAAATTAGTTCTGCCAAAGTTCTTTGTTTTGAGGAATTTTGGCCACTTCCTATTATCTGCTTTTTGTGTGTGTCTTGTGACTCTGACTAAATATATGACGTGATTTTTCTAGCATTAAGACTCTTCTTTTTTTGCACATCAGGGTTTTTTTTTAAGCGACCTTCTTGCTGAAACAGAAAATTTCCCCGAGATGTAGCAATGTTATGTTCTTGTAACCAAACACGGCCTAGAGGTCTGGCACAAAACATTAAAAGCTTTCTTAGTTGGGTTCTCTGTTTACAACCAGTGAGGGGTTATTTTTAATACCAGCTCCTATTTCAAAGTTAAGGTGTATTTTCTCTCTCTGGGCTACCATATAATGTCAGTCGAGAAGCTATAATGTGAACTTGGTTTCAATTGCTGTGTGAAAACGCATCAGATTAAAGCAGAGCGATCATCAGGGCCTTGTCACATTAACTGGCGTTGATTGACAATTTCATGCTCAGCTATAGATGAAAATTCTAAAGATATGAACCAGGGATGGAGAATCTGGTGGTGTTGGATTCCAGCTGCAACAACCTCATACCTTCCAACATTCCTCCAGCGAAAATAGGGACATCCTATTCCATAATACTAATACTAATACTAATACTAATACTAATTTTATTATTTATACTCATTTGACTGGGTTACCCCAACCACTCTGGGCAGCTTCCAACATATATAGTAAAGGTAAAGGGACCCCTGACCATTAGGCCCAGTCGTGACTGACTCTGGGGTTGCGGTGCTCATCTCGCTTTATTGGCCGAGGGAGCTGGCATACAGCTTCTGGGTCATGTGGCCAGCATGACTAAGCTGCTTCTGGCGAACCAGAGCAGCACACAGAAACGCCGTTTACCTTCCTGCTGGAGCAGTACCTATTTATCTACTTGCACTTTGATGTGCTTTTGAATTGCTAGGTTGGCAGGAGCAGGGACCGAGCAACGGGAGCTCACCCCATCGTGGGGTTTCGAACCGGCGACCTTCTGATCGGCAAGTCCTAGGCTCTGCGGTTTAACCCACAGCGCCACCTGCGTCCAACATATATAAAAACATAATAAAACATTAAACATTAAAAACTTTGCTATTTAGGGCTGCCTTCAGATGTTTTCTAAAGGATGTATAGTAACTTATCTCCTTGGCTTGGGGGCCACATAACTCCACACCTTCTGACAGTTCACCAGTGAAAATTGGGTTGTCCTACCATACTCTCCAACGTTTTTCTGATGAAATAGGGGTGTACTAAGAAATAGCAGGACATCCTAGGGTCAGATCAGAAACCAGGATGGCTTCCATAAATCTGGGACTGTCCCTGGGACACTTGGAGGGTCTGCAACCTCAGCCAGCATGGCTAGTGGTCAGGGAGAAGAGGTAGAGTCCGTTAGCATTTGGAGCACCACAAGTTCTACATTCCTGATCTAAATTCTTCTGAAACTGCATTCAAAACGTTCCAGCAACTGTGGGAACAAAGTTTCCACAGCAGAATGCATGCAGTTCAGCTTGAGTGAGGTAAGGGTATATTGTTGGTTTAGCTGGGATTAAGATGTAGAAAGCACTGTGGGCTTACTCCCAGGTAAGAGTGGATATGACCAATTAATGAAGGGCTGCCATATGTCTGGATGTCCTCAGACGTTATCAGGATTTCAAAGGTGCAAATGACGTTGGGGGAATTTCCGAAATAAGGTGCTTTGTCAATCAAAAAAATCTTCTCTTTTTTTGGAATTTGGAATTTTTGGTTTTTCCTTAAAAAAGCTCAACAATTTTGGGGTCTTCCTAAAAAAGCGAAGTCAAGATTTCCTCACTTCCTGTTATTAAAGGTGGGCAGCCCCTAGGACCCAGAGGTGAGAGAGTAGGGAATTTCAGAAAGCAATGTTGGTTAACCAGCCTGTTATTGGAATGCATGCTTCTAGAAGTTTTATAGTACAGCAAAGTTACATAATCTCATTTCACTTCTGCTTCCAGCTTTTGTTTTAAATCATGGATGTTACTTCAAACAGATATAACTCGGGGCATTTTCAATGGCCCCGACAGATTGCATACGCTGATGTTTTTTAATTGCCATTTTAAAATAAAAGATGCATTATCATCCGTATCCTTCACAACAATTACATCTTAGTAAATAGGAAGGTGCTGCAAAGTATTTGTGTATATCTTACAATTTACTATGGTTTATTTATTATTAAGGATATTGATGATAACATGTTTTGATTTTAAAATAGTAATGTTATCAGTGTACGTGCTCAAGAGTCACTGAATAATACAGGAGGCACGAACTAGCACTCAATTATTATTTTTAAAAATTAAAAATTAAAAAGAAAGGAAAAAAGGTGGAAATAGGAGGCAAGATTCATGGAGGAGGAGAAGGAGGCCATCAATGGCTACTGGCCATGATGGCTGTGCTCTGCCTTCACAGTCAGAAGCACTATGCTTCTAGGGACGCGGGTGGCGCTGTGGTCTAAACCACTGAGCCTCTTAGGCTTGCCGATCAGAAAGTCGGCAGTTCAAATCTCCATGGTGGTTTGAGCTCCCATTGCTGTATCCCAGCTTCTGCCAACCTAGCAGTTCGAAAGCATGCCAGTGCAAGTAGATAAGCAGGAAGGTAAATGGTGTTTCCGTGCACTTTGGTTTCCGTCATGGTGTTCCGTTGCGCCAGAAGCGGTTTAGTCCTGCTGGCCACATGACCCAGAAAGCTGTCTGTGGACAAACGCTAGCTCCTTTGGCCTGAAAGCAAGATGAGCGCCACAACCCCATAGTCGCCTTTGACTGGATTTAACCACCCAGGGGTCCTTTACCTATACCTTTTACTATGCTTCTGGATGTCAGTGGCTGGGAACCACAGGAGGAGAGAGTGCTCTTGTTTGTAGGTTTTGAGTTTGCCACAGGCATCTGGTTGGCCTGATCCAGCAGCCTCTTCTTATGTTCCTAAGTAGAATAAGAAAATATATACCTTAAAAGCAATCAGGATCACATCTCATAAAATTGAGGGAGGTTTATAATGAACACCCACTTTCTTACTTCAGGTTACAGACTCCGCTAACCCAGAAATAGTACCTCAGGTTAAGAATTTTGCTTCAGGATGAGAACAGAAATCATGCTTTGGCAGCACGGCGGCAGCAGGAGGCCCCATTGAACCAAAAAACCCCAGTGATTTTACTCAGAACAGCCATTTCCCCACAATTTGATATACTGTTCTCTCAAACGGGGAATTTCATTTTTCTTCCAGAATATTGCATATAGAATCCCCCTAACAGACCACTGATTTTTGGACTATTTGGGGAAGTCCACCGGCTATCCTCTTACTTCCCTCTCTTTGAAACTACCATCCTATTTTGATGTATTGTGTGTGTGTTTTGTTCTCTCTTTTCTTTTTATTGACTTGTACTGTTTAATTCCTTTTTTGTTTTTGTTTTTCCTTTTTCTTTTTTCTCTGTAATTTTAAATTCTCAATAAATATCATTTTAAAAATATATATATATATGAAACTACCATCCTACAACGCCTTTCAGGATTCAGGTTATTGGCCCTCATCCAGCCCATCAAAGCTTCCACATAATGATTCCACATCTACACAGTTTCGCCTGATGTAGTTGAACAGAGGGTCACTTGCATTTTGATGACCCCTTTTCCCCCAAATTTCTGGATGAACCCTCCTAATGGCTTCATATTGATGCTTATAAAGGTTGAACCTTGAGGGAGGGACCTTGTAAAATGACTGACATGGGGCCAAACAAAGGTCCCCCACTGCTACTCCTTATCCACCAACACCTATTGCAAAATGGCCTCCTTTTCAGCCTCCTTCTCATCCCCACTATTAAATAATCACTTGTATTTTTTAAAAAATGCTTTTTATTGAGATTTAAAAACACCATCACCAACCAACAAAAACATCAAGTCTTATTACATATATCCTACTTTATGCTCCGTAGAGCCACTGACTTCCGTCCTTCCCTTCTGCAAGTTTTCTTATTCCACTCTATAATTCACAGGTTCATTGGTTAAAAATTACACCGTGACGTAAGATTTAATTCAATCCTGCCAACGTTTTCATGTTTCTGCAGTTCTCACTTATATAAACCATGAATTTACTCCATTCTTTTTGGCACTTCGTCTCCTCCTGATTGCGAATTCTGTGTGTCAATTTTGCCATTTCGGCGTATTCGACCAACTTTATCTGCCATTCCCTTACAGTTGGAATCTCCTCTGACTGCCACTTTTGGGCTATCAAAACTCTGGCTGCTGTTGTTGCATATAGATATAATCTTTGGTCTGTCTTCTTAATATCTTCTCCCACCAAGCCTAACAAAAATTCTTCCGGCTTTTTTGGAAAAGTATATTTAAACATCTTTTTTAACTCATTATAGATCGATTCCCAAAACTCTTTTATTTTGTTACATGACCACCACATGTGGTAAAAATCGCCGTCCTTTTCCTTGCATTTCCAGCAAGTTTTGCTACTTGTCCTATACATTTTTGCCAGTTTGGTGGGAGTGAGATACCAGCGATAAACTATTTTCATTACATTCTCTTTTAAAGCAGAGCATGCAGTGAATTTTAGGTTCTCGTTCCAAAGTTTAGCCCATGCATCATAGTCTATGTTGTGTCCCAAGTCAATAGCCCATTTTGTCATGTTCTCTTTTATGAAAGGATAAATAATCATTTGTCATCAGAGAGGGGGGAATGGTGGAGGAGCCATTATCAGTGGCAGCAACAGTGGAGGAGTCAGTGACGGGGGGAGTTGGCTGCAGTGGGGTGCAATGGGGTTTTTGTTGGGGAAGGGGTAAGAGTCGTCTTCAGAGGGGTAGCAGCAGCTTGGGAGTTGGCATTTTCTTTGGGAAGAGGAATTGATTGGTAACCATTTTGAGAACTGCAGCTCTGTGAGAGAAAGAAGGCTTTCTGAACTATTCTCAGCAGCTGTAATAAACTACACTTCCCAGGATTCATTGGGGGAAGCCACGACTGCTAAAGTGGTATCACAGTGATTTAAATGGATAGTGTGGAAGCGGTCAGAGTCTTGGTATCTGAAACTGAATGAAAGTATGACAAGGTGATTAAACAAAGGGGGTGGGGAAGGAGCCAGAGATCTG